CTCTCTCTCTCTCTCTCTCTCTCTCTCTCTCTCTCTTTCTCTCTGTCTCTCTCCTTCCTGGAAGCCATGAGCTGAGGAGAGCTCTCCTCAGCCATGTTCTTCCACCATGAAGTTTCTGCCTCTGAGACAATCTGCCATGGACAGAATCCTCTAAAACTTTGAGTCAAAGTAAACTTTTCTTCCTCTTTAAGTTGTTCTTGTGGGGTATTATCAAAGCTGACTAACATGCCCTCTTTGATTAATGTATGATTATTCATACAATGGGCAAAGATCTTAAAATGAAGATAGTAGTGTGGCTTTTGTGTAAAAATCATAATGATGCCTGTTGTCCCAGTAGTTTGGGAGCCTGGTGCAGGAGGATTGCAAGTTCAAAGCCAGTCTCAGCAAAAGTGAGAGGCTAAGCAACTCAGTGAGACTCTGTCTCCATATAAAAGGCAAAATAGTGCTGGGGATGTGCCTCAGTGGTCGAATGCCTCTAAGTTCAATCCCTGGTAGCCCCCCACATTATAATGAATCATTAAATGAGTGATAATAAAGTAATTAAACATTTCTCTATACCATTTTCTCTGTTTGACTTCTGAATTAAAGAATTATCTATATTTTAAAATCGAGCACTTTTAAAAATATATTTTTTAAAACATTTTTTAAAAATCTCTAATTATTCAGGTTGAATATTTGAATCAAAATGACAGGGGGAAAAACAGCACCACTTGAGTAGTATTTGACATATTTAGAATAAGATAGGACCATGAATGCTCAAGTTTGATTCTTTTCACAAAGATGTTAAATGTGCAATATGCACTTTGAATTGATATTATGCTATAACTTGTAAATCTCAGTTGTAAAAAGCCTGAAAAATATTGCAATCTTTCCAAAGAAAAGTGTTATAGAAGTAAACTACTGAGACCACTTGTTATTAATGCCAGATAACATAATTCTTGGAAAAATATGTAGAAAAACATTTGTTTTAAAATAATTAATGATCATGTACAGTGTTCCCAGGCAACACAGTAGGAGTGAAGTGTAAGCTAAAATTGGTAAATTATACTGGGCTCTCTGGTTTTTTGCAACTTACTGCCAGATGAGAGAGATTTTTCAAT